ACACACACACACACACACACACACACACACACACACACACACACACAGACCCAAAAAGAGCAACACAACTCCAAGGCCTTCGTACTCTTTTGCTTTTCTGATAATATACAAGAGTCCTTGGCAGATTTTTCCATTTCCAATCTCGGAGCTCAGCACTGGAAATGCCATGAAAGAGACCCCCAAGCTCGACCCCTGGTGTGATATGGAATAACCTGCAGAGAACATCAAGTGTTGAATTTGATGTTCAATGGACCTTTTTAGTACTGCTCCTTCAGAGGAAAAGAGATACGGAAGTGAAAATACAAAGAGAAATGCTTTCCACCCACATGCTTTAACTCTATGTATGCAACACACACACATGCACATGCACATATAAGGAGTATGAACAGTATGAACACATAAATGGACAAAGCCCTATGTGCTACAGGATAATGGAAGAAGACTGTGTAAATCCCACATGTGCTTAATCCCGACACTTACAAGAGAGTGTGATTCATACTCTATTACACTCAACTAATACAGCCCAGAGACGCACCGGGTGCAATTATTTCAGCTGGCATGACCCCACCAAATAACAGCAATGAATCCTCTTTATGAAGACTTTACTAAGATGGTGCGAGAGGTCAGAAATAAACCCTTTGTACTTATTAGCCATTAAAACAGCAAGAGCTTCCTGCCACACCCGCACTTTGTTTGTGTGCCACTGTGAACACATGCAAACATCCATGTAATGAAACAAGCACATCTGTGAGGCTGTGCACATTTGTACTATATAAACTGGTATTTATTGCACAGCATCAGACACTTCCCTGCAGCTTGTAACAACAAAACAACTTGTACAGTGCTTTTCTTAACAATGTTGCAAAGAGCTTTATGAGAAAGGATAAGGTGAGTCAGGTATGATTCATGATGACATTACTCTGTAGCGTCATGGGCTATTAAAGAGCAACATTGAAAAACTCAGTTTCATCAGTTTGTTTCAGTCCTACAAAGACCAAACTGAGTCTGCTATCATGTGAATTTGGAATGATTACTTTGTTAACGATTACCAAATGGTCTTAAATCTGTGCGCTTGATAAAACTGTTTTAAGCTGCTAGAGTTAACTTAATTCATGTTCCTTTTGGAAGCATGTTTGTAGCACCAACCTGATTTTTTTAATCATAAATTTTTAATTGGATTTCTGTGGAAAAGTTACAAATGAACATTACCTTACCTGTTTGGACACATTAGAACCATCTTTTGTTATCCTTTACAGCCACTGTGCATCACACACTCATTTACAGAACATGTCAAGGTATTTCCATCCATCCATTATCTTTACCCGCTTCTTCCATTTTTGGGTCACGGGGGCTGCTGGTGCCCATGTCCAGCAATCGCTGTGCAAGGGGCAGGGTACACCCTGGACGGGTTGCAAGTCCATCACAGGCCACATAGAGACAAACGAGACAAACAAACATTCACTCTCTCACTCACACCTAGGGACAATTTAGAGTTACCAATCAGCCTAACATGCATGTTTTTGGTCTGTGGGAGGAAACCAGAGTACCCAGAGAAAACCCACGCATGCACGGAGAGAACATGCAAACTCCACCCAGAAAGGCCCCTGGACTGGGGTTTGAACCAAGGACTTGCTCGCTGAGAGGCAACAGCTCTACCAGTTGTGTCAGCGTGCTGCCGTCAAGGTATTTCACAAGTGCAAATAGCGACAGCAGCAACTAGCTGTAGCACACTAGCACATTCTGGGGCACTTCCTGGAAATCAATATTTCTGCTAAAATAACTATGTAATGCAAAATTGGAGACAATGAAAAGGTTTGTATGTTAGAATTCACATGCATGGATATACATTTTTGAGGTTGGAGTTGTTTTAATTTGGCAGCAAACCACCTGGTCTTGAATACATGAAGACGAGCCATTAGCTCATCCATCCGGTCAGATTTTAATTCTGTTTCTCCAAGCTGAGGTTCTTCTACCTGTTAAATGAAAACTATGGGATGATTTTGTACAGTGTACTGCCATGATAAATCTTTGTTGTAGCATATAAACCACTGCAGTAATGATGTGACTTCATCTGAACAGCCATTCTAATTAAGCTTGTAGCTGAAACAAATCTGACAGAAACCAACAGAAACAAAAATCTGTTCTATAGAACAATGCTTACACCAAGGTAAAATCCACTAACAAAAGGAAACACTGATGTCCCCAGAAAGATCATGGTAGGTAACACCCCCACCTATTAATCTGCTCTAGGCAAACAAGTCCAAAACAGAGAAAATCACATAATTTCTTACCCTCAGATGCTTCTTGTAGAGGCTACGTGTACAGATTTGTGTGTATGTATATCTCTATGTGAAATATATTGTAATTTTTAGAAGACATGTTTGTAAGTGTTTAAGTAGAGTGTAAATGCTGTGAAATCTGAGGACCAAGAGTAAAAAAAGAAACAACAAAGAGAGCAGCCCTGACGCATGCTCAATAATCCAGGTAGATAAATCTAACAAGGTTGAGTCAGGTACTCTGGACGGATTCTTCGAATTCTGACTCAAAGAACCAAACAGAGCAGAACAAACAGACCAGAGACAAAGAGAGCAGAACGAAAAAGCAGCTTGATCAGGAGACAAACACATAATGAAAAAAATAATGCAACATCTGTTTTCTGGTTTTTGCTTTCAATCTTCAGCTCACCTTTCTTGTCACCAAAGAAGAGTGTCTGCTGTGCTGGGTTTGACCACTGGAGGGAGGTGTTGTCATTGAACTCCACACGGCAGGTCATGTTGGCTGTCCCCCCCTCTGTCACAGTCACATTTTGAACCAGAGGATACTGACCACTGATACCTGCAGAACAACACAAACAGAACATGAAGATGTTCATTTATTGTGAAAGAGAAGAAACAGACACACACAAAGCTAGACAGCTGGCACTTTTGATTACAAAACTGAAATAATTGATTAAAAAAATACTGGGCATAACATAAAGCAAATACTGCAACTTGACTTTAAACTCCCTATTCCACACAGACATTCATGAAACTAAAGCACTTTATCACTAGCAGCACAAAAAGAAAATACTTGATTTATGTCTTGACAAATATGTAAAATAAACAAGTTAAAGCTTAAACCTTCCTCCAATCACAAAATGAATGTCTGGGAAGGCTGGCCAGTGATTACTCTGTGCTAAATTGGACTCTAACACAGAACACGCAGGAGGCATTTAGCCTGAAGTATTAAAACCTTAGCTACACAGAGCAGAGCAATTAAAACTGGTTCTCTGTGGAGTTGTGTGCATGTGTGGACACTGATCTGTGAAATGCCTGCATGTGACTAATAGAAACCAACCACTGAGCTGAGTTCTGCATTTCAGGCAGGGCTGGACCAGGCTGGATGTCAGAACCCTGAACATGACTACAGTTTTCAGGACAATGTACAGAGTCTGTATGCTGACCTACGAGCCACCTTTTTTGTGCCAATGCTACAATTTCAGAACCATGGACAGAGTCAGGATGCTGAGCTAAGACCCACATTTCTTAGTGCAAATGTTAGAATTTCAGAACCATGGACAGAGTCAGTGTGCTGACCTACGATCCACATTTTAGTGCCCACGTTTACATTTTCAGCACCATGGACAGAGTCAGGATGATTAGCTATGACCCACATTTCAGAGTCAGAGTCAGAGTCAGAGTTTCTTTATTGTCATTTGCACCTCATGTGGTACATGTG